CCAGGAGCTTACTGTGGAACAGACAATCAATTGCACATATGCAAGTTCAAGATGAAGCTGAGAAAAATTAAAACTAGTTGATGAGAGCCAAAATATGACCTTGATTATATCTCACTTGAATTTAGAGACCATCTGAAGACTAGATTTGATGCAATAAACACCATGACAGAAAACAAGATAAGTTGTGGGATGACATCAAGAACATGAAAAAAAAAAAAAAAAAAAAAAGCAAAAGGTCATTAAAATGGAAAGAAGAAAAGAGTAAAATGGGTGTCAGAAGAAACTCTACAACTTGTTCTTGAATAGGGAGTAGCTAAAGGCAATGGAAGAAATGATGAGAAGAAAGAGTTGAGTAGAAGATTTCAAAGGGCAGCTCGAGAAGATAAAGTAAAATTTTATAACAAAATGTGCAAAGACCTGGAGTGAGAAAACCAAAAGGGAAGAACACACTTGACATTTCTCAAGGTGAAAGAACTGAAGAAAAAATTTAAACCTCATGTTACAATATTGAAGGATTCTATGGGCAAAATATAGAATGAGACAGGAAGTATCAAAAGAAAATGGAAGGGATACACAGAATCACTGTACCAAAAAGAATCGGTCAATGTTCAACTCTTTCAGAAGGTAAGCTATGATCAAGAACCAATGTTATTGAAGGAAGAAGTCCAAGCTGCACTGAAGGAATTGGTGAAAAACAAGGCTCCAGGAATTGACAGAATACCCACTGAGATGTTTCAAGAAATGGATCCAGCACTGGAGGTGCTTATTGTTTATGCCAAGAAATTTGGAATCAGTTACCTGGACATCTGACTGGAAAAGATTGATGTTAGTGACATTCTAAAGAAAGGAGATCCAACAGAATGTTGAAATTATCAAACAATATCATTAATATCACACACAAGTAACATTTTGGTGAAGATAATTAAAAAACAGTTGCAGCAGTATATTGACAGGGAACTGACAGAAAGTCAAGCTGAATTCAGAAGATGATGTTGATCAAGGGATATCATTGCTACTGTCAAATGGAGCTTGGCTGCTAGCAAAGAATACCAGAAAGATGTTTACCTGTATTTCATTGACTATGCAAAGGCATTTGTTGGTGTGAATAACAACAAATTATGGATAATAAGAATGGGAATTCCAGAACACTTAATTGTGATCACAAGTTACCTGTACATTGACCAAGAGGCAGTCATTCTAACAGAACAAGGGGATACTGAATGGTTTAAAATCAGGAACAGTGTGCATCAATGTTGTATCCCTTCACCATTCTTATTCAATCTGTATGCTGAGCAAATAATCTGAGAAGCTGGACAATATGAAGAAGAACATGGCATCAGCACTGGATAAAGACTTATTAACAACCTGTGATGTGTACATGACAGAACCTTTCTTGCTGAAAGTAAAAATGACTTGAAGCATTTATTGATGAAGATCAAAGACTACAGTTTTCAGTAGGGAGTACATCTCAACGTAAAGAAAACAAAAATCCTCACAATTGGACCAATAAGGAACATCATGATAAATGGAGAAAACTTTAAAGTTGTGAAGGATTTCTTTTACTTGGATCCACATTCAACACTCCTGGAAGCAGCGGTCAAGAAATCAAGCATTATATTGCACTGGGAAAATTTACTTCAAAAGACTCTTTAAAGTGTTAAGAAGCGAAGATATCACTCAGAAGACTAAAGTGTGCCTAACCCAAGCCATGGTATTTTCAATTGCCTCATATGCATGTGATGGCTGGATAAAAAATAAGGAAGACCAAAGACGAGTTGATGCTTTTGAATTATGATTTTGGCAAAGAATACTGAAAATACCATGGACTGCCAGAAGAATGTGCAAATCTGTCCTGGAAGAAGTGCAGCCAAAATGTTCCTTGAAAGTGAAAATGGCCAGACTTCATCTCAACTACTTTGGTCATGTGGTCAGAAGGGACTATTTCTTGGAGAAGGATACCATGCTTGGTAAAGTAGAGGGTCAGAGAAAAAGGGGAAGACCCTTAACAAGATGGATTGACACAGAGGCTGCAACGATGGGCTCAAGTGTAGCAAGGATTGTGAGAATGGTTCAGGACAGGGCAATGTTTTATTCCGTTGTACATAGAATCACTATGAGTCAGAGCTGACTCGATGGTATCTACCAACAACAGAACTCAAAGCAACCTACAGTTATAATGTAGTCCCAATCCAGATTTCATTATCATTATTTAAAGGGGTGGAAAAACTAATCACCAACTTTATGTGGAAAGGTAAGAGACCCCAGATAAGCAAAGCACTATTGAAGAAGAAAAACAAAGTAGGAAGTCTCACACTGCCAGATCTCAAAAAATACAGCCACAGTAGTCAAAACAGCCTGGAATTGGTATAATGACAGACATATAGAGCAATGGAACAGAATTGAGAACCCAGAAGTAAATTCAGTCACCTATGGACAAAGGACCAAAACCCGTTAAATGGGGATGAGATAGTCTCTTTAAGAAATGGCAAAACTGGATATCCATTTACAGAACAATGAAACAGGATTGGTATTTCATGCCATATATAGAACTAACTCAAGATGGTTCAAGACCTAAATGTAAAACCCCAAACCAAGGAAAAAAATAGGAGCAAACTTTGAGACCTTAATATATGGCATAAATACACTATCAAACATAACTAAAAATGCACAAACAGCAGAAGACAAACTAGACAACTGGGACATCTTAAAAAGTAAATATGTATGTGCATGAAAGGGTAAAAAGAGAACATATAGACTGGAGAAAAATTTTGGCAATGATATATTGCACAAGGGACTAATCTCTAACATTTATAAAAATTTTAATACCTCAACAACAAAAAAATAAACAATCCAGTTAAAAATGGGCAGAGGACATGAACAGATGCTACACCAAATAAGATATTCAGGCAACTAACAAACACATGAAGAAATGTTCATGATCATAAGCCATGTTGTTGTTCTTATGTGCCGTTGAGTCAGACCCAACTTAGAGAGATGCAAAACAAAACCGCTATGAGATATCAACTCACCCCAAAATGAATAGCAAAGTTTAAAACAAAACAAAACAAAAAAACAGATGCCAGTGAGGATGTGGAAAGACTAGATCCCTCTTATACTGCTGCTGGGGAGCTCTGGTAGTGTAGTGCCTAAGGCACTTGACTGCCAACCAATCAAGTTCAAACCCATCAGCCACTCCTTGGAAGGAAGATGGAGCAATCTACTTGTGTAGTGATACTGCCTCAGAAACCTAAGGAGGGATCGCTATGAGTTGAATCTGACTCGACTGCACATTACAACAACAACAACATACTGCTGCTAGGACTATAAAATGATACAACCAATGTGAAAAGTAGTATGACAATTCCTTAAGAATTTAGAAATATAATTTCCATATTATTTAGCAATCCCACTAATAGATATACATCCTAGAGAAGTAAGAGCCATGATACAAACAGATATATGCACACCCATGTTCATCACAGCATTATGCACAATAGCAAAATGATAGAAACAACCTAAGTCTCCATCAACAGATGAACAGATAAACAAACTATGGTACATACACACAATGGAATACTATGCAACATTAAAGATTGAGTCTGCGAAATGCCTCATAATATGGATGAACCAAGAGGACATTATGCTGAGTGAAAGTAGTCAATCACAAAAAGACAATTATTGTATGAGACTACAACTTTCAAAAGTTAAGAAAAAGTTTACACACAGAAAGAATCATTCTTTGAAGGTGACCAGGGCTGGGAGGTGAAGGGAGGGTAACTCACTAACTAGAAGGTAGATAAGTATTAATTTGTGTGAAGGTAAAGACAATGTACAATAAGGAGGAATTCAGTACAAAATGATCAAGGCAGTGGAAGACACTGGGAGGAGCACATGAGTTAAAGGCAACAAAAATTGAAACTTATATATGTAG